CTGTAGACACTACAGGACCTGATTGAAGGACTGTTCAAAGATTGCAAAACACCTCAGTGAGTTGGTTCCTGAGATCAGAAACAGAAGACAGAGCTGAAGAAGGAGGGGAAGGCTTGTAAAAATACCAGGGCCTGTCAGTCAGGAAGACTTGTTCTTGGGGCTCAACTGTGTTGCATATCAGAGTAAAGCTGCTGGGGGAGGCCTTCAAGATGGTGGAGGAGTAACACGTGGAGATCACCTTCCTCCCCACAAATACATGAAAAATACATCTTCATGTGGAACAACTCCTACAGAACACCTACTGAACGCTGGCAGAAGACCTCAGACTTCCCAAAAGGCAAATAAATCTACACGTACCTGGGTAGGGCAAAAGAAAAAACAGACAAAAGAATAGGGACGGGTCCTGCACCTCTGGGAGGGAGCTGTGAAGGAGGAAAAGTTTCCACACACTAGGAAGCCCCTTCACTGGCAGAGGCAGGGGGTGGGCACGGGGGAAGCTTCAGAGCCATGGAGGAGAGCGCAGCAACAGGGCTGCAGAGGGCAAAGCAGAGAGATTCCCGCACAGAGGATCAGGGCGACCACCACTCACCAGTCCAAGAGGCTTGTCTGCTCACCTGCGGGGGCGGGTCGGGGTGGGAGCTGAGGCTCGGACATCGGAGGTCAGATCCCAGGGAGAGGACTGGGGTTGCCTGCGTGAACACAGCCTGAAGGGGGCTAGTGCGCCACAGCTAGCCGGGAGGGAGTCCGGGAATAAGCCTGGACCTGCCTAAGAAGCAAGAGACCATTGTTTCAGGGTGTGCGAGGAGAGGGGATTCCTTCCCTGTCTGCCCAAAGAAGGCAGAGCACCACCTAAAAGAGCTACAGAGATGGGCGCAAGCCGTGGCTATCAGCTTGGAACCCAGAGACAGGCATGAAAGGCTAACGCTCCTGCTGCAGCCACCAAGAAGCCTGTGTGCAAGCACAGGTCACTATCCACACCTCCCCTCCCGGGAGCCTGTGCAGCCTGCCACTGCACTGTACCATTTTTCTAGGTTCCCATAAATGCATTAATACACAATATTTGTTTTTCTCTTTCTGACTTACTTCACTCTATATGACAGTCTCTAGATCCATCCACGTCTCTATAAATGACCCAATTTCGTTCCTTTTTATGGTTGAGTAATATCCCATTGTGTATATACACCACATCTTCTTTATCCATTCCTCTGTCAATGGCATTTAGGTTGCTTCCATGACCTGGCTATTGTAAATAGTGCTGCAAGGAACATTGGGGTGCATGTGTCTGGCTTTCTCTGGGTATATGCCCAGTAGTGGGATTGCTGGGTCACATGGTAATTCTATTTCTAGTTTAGTAAGGAACCTCCATACTGTTCTCCATACCGGCTGTATCAATTTACATTCCCACCAACAGTGCAAGAGGGGTCCCTTTTCTCCACACCCTCTCCAGCATTTGTTTGTAGATGTTCTGATGATGCCCATTCTAAATGGTGTGAGGTGATACCTCATTGTAGTTTTGATTTGCGTTTCTCTAATAATTAGTGATATTGAGCAGCTTTTCATGTGCTTCTTGGCCATCTGTATGTCTTCTTTGGAGAAATGTCTATTTAGGTCTTCTTCCCATTTTTGGATTGGGTTGTTTGTTTTTTTAATATTGAGCTGCATGAGCTGTTTATATATTTTGGAGATTAATCCTTTGTTTGTTGATACATTTGCAAATATTTTCTCCCATTCTGAGGGTTGTCTTTTCTTCTTGTTTGTAGTTTCCTTTGCTTTGCAAAAGCTTTTAAGCTTCATTAGGTCCCATTTGTTTACTTTTGTTTTTATTTCCATTACTCTAGGAGGTGGATCAAAAAAGATCTTGCTGTGATTTATGTCAAAGAGTGTTCTTCCTATGTTTTTCTCTAAGAGTTTTATAGTGTCTGGCCTTACATTTAGGTCTCTAATCCATTTTGAGTTTATTTTTGTGTATGGTGTTAGGGAGTGTTCTGATTTCATTCTTTTACATGTAGCTGTCCAGTTTTCCCAGCACCACTTATTGAAGAGACTGTCTTTTCTCCATGGTATACCCTTGCCTCTTTTGTCGTACATTAGTCGACCATAGGTGCATGGGTTTATCTCTGGGCTTTCTATCCTGTTCCATTGATCTATATTTCTGTTTTTGTGCCAGTACCATATTGTCTTGATTACTGTAGCTTTGTAGTATAGTCTGAAGTCAGGCAGTCTGCTTCCTCCAGCTGTTTTTTTCCCTCAAGACTGCTTTGGCTATTCGGGGTCTTTTGTGTCTCCATACAAATTTTAAGAGTTTTTGTTCTAGCTCTGTAAAAAATGCCATTGGTAATTTGATAGGGATTGCATTGAATCTGTAGATTGCTTTGGGTAGTATAGTCATTTTCACAATATTGATTCTTTCAATCCAAGAACATGGTATATCTCTCCATCTGTTGGTATCATCTTTAATTTCTTTCATCAGTGTGTTACAGTTTTCTGCATACAGGTCTTCTGTCTCCCTAGGTAGGTTTATACCTAGGTATTTTATTCTTTTTGTTGCAATGGTAAATGGGAGTGTTTCCTTAATTTCTCTTTCAGATTTTTCAACATTAGTGTATAGGAACGCAAGAGATTTCTGTGCATTAATTTTGTATCCTGCAACTTTACCAAATTCATTTATTTGTTCTAGTAGTTTTCTGGTGGCATCTTTAGGATTCTCTATGTATAGTATCATGTCATCTGCAAACAGTGACAGTTTTACTTCTTCTTTTCCAATTTGTATTCCTTTTATTTCTTTTTCTTCTCTGATTGACGTGGCTAGGACTTCCAAAACTATGCTGAATAATAGTGGTGAGAGTGGACATCCTTGTCTCGTTCCTGATCTTAGAGGAAATGCTTTCAGTTTTTCACTGTTGAGAATGATGTTTGCTGTGGGTTTGTTGTATATGGCCTTTATTATGTTGAGGTAAGTTCCCTCAATGCCCACTTTCTGGAGAGTTTTTATCATAAACGGGTGTTGAATTTTGTCAAAGGCTTTTTCTGCATCTATTGAGATGATCATATGGTTTTTCTTCTTCAATTTGTTAATATGGTGTATCACATTGATTGATTTGCATATATTGAAGAATCCTTGCATCCCTGGGATAAATCCCACTTGATCATGGTGTCTGATCCTTTTAATGTGTTGTTGGATTCTGTTTGCTAGTATTTTGTTGAGGATTTTTGCATCTGTATTCATCAGTGATATTGGTCTGTAATTTTCTTTTTTTGTAGTATCTTTGTCTGGTTTTGGTATCAGGGTGATGGTGGCCTCATAGAATGAGTTTGGGAGTGTTCTTTCCTCTGCAATTTTTTGGAAGAGTTTGAGAAGGATGGGTGTTAGCTCCTCTCTAAATTCTGATAGAATTCACCTGTGAAGCCATCTGGTCCTGGACTTTTGTTTGTTGAAAGATTTTTAATCACAGTTTCAATTTCATTACTTGTGATTGGTCTGTTCATATTTTCTATTTCTTCCTGGTTCAGTATTGGAAGGTTATACCTTTCTAAGAATTTGTCCATTTCTTCCAGGTTGTCCATTTTATTGGCATAGAGTTGCTTGTAGTAGTCTCTTAGGATGCTTTGTATTTCTACGGTGTCTTTTGTAACTTCTCCTTTTTCGTCTCTAATTTTATCGATTTAAGTCCTCTCCCTCTTTTTCTTGATGAGTCTGGCTAATGGTTTATCAATTTTGTTTATCTTCTCAAAGAAGCAGCTTTTAGTTTTATTGATCTTTGCTATTGTCTTCTTTGTTTCTATTTCATTTATTTCTGCTCTGATCTTTATGATTTCTTTCCTTCTGCTAACTTTGGGTTTTGTTTGTTCTTCTTTCCCTAGTTCCTTTAGGTGTAAGGTTAGATAGTTCATTTGAGATTTTTCTTGTTTCTTGAGGTAGGCTTGTATAGCTATAAACTTCCCTCTTAGAACTACTTTTGCTGCATCCCATAGGTTTTGGATTGTCGTCTTTTCATTGTCATTTGCCTCTAGGTATTTTTGATTTCCTCTTTGATTTCTTCAGTGATCTCTTGGTTATTTAGTAACGTATTGTTTAGCCTGCATGTGTTCGTGTTTTTTACGTTTTTTTCCCTGTAATTGATTTCTAATCTCATAGTGTTGTGGTCAGAAAAGATGCTTGATATCATTTCAATTTTCTTAAATTTACTGAGGTTTGATTTGTGGCCATAGATGTGATCTGTCCTGGAGAGTGTTCCATGCTCAGTTGAGAAGAAAGTGTAATCTGCTGTTTTTGGATGGAATGTCCTATAAATATCAATTAAATCTATCTGGTCTATTGTGTCATTTAAAGCTTGTGTTTCCATATTAATTTTCTGTTTGGATGATCTGTCCATTGGTGTAAGTGAGGTATTAAAGTCCCCCACTATTTTTGTGTTGCTGTCGATTTCCTCTTTTAGAGCTGTTAGCAGTTGCCTTATGTATTGAGGTGCTCCTATGTTGGGTGCATATATATTTATAATTGTTATATCTTCTTCTTGGATTGATCCCTTGAACATTATGTAGTGTCGTTCCTTGCCTCTTGTAACATTCTTTATTTTAAAGTCTATTTTATCTGATATGAGTGTTGCTACTCCAGCTTTGATTTCCATTTGCATCGAATATCTTTTTCCATCCCCTCACTTTCAGTCTGTATGTGTCCCTAGGTCTGAAGTGGGTCTCTTGTAGACAGCATATATATAGGTCTTGTTTTTGTATCCATTCAGCAAGCCTGTGTCTTTTGGTTGGGGCATTTACTCCATTCACGTTTAAGGTAATTATTGATAGGTATGTTCCTATGACCATTTTCTTAATTGTTTTGGGTTTGTTTTTGTAGGTCCTTTTCTTCTCTTGTGTTTCCCACTTAGAGAAGTTCCTTTAGCATTTGTTGTAGAACTGGTTTGGTGGTGCTGAGTTCTCTTATCTTTTGCTTGTCTGTAAAGCTTTTGATTTCTCCATCAAATCTGAATGAGATCCTTGCCAGGTAGTGTAATCTTGGTTGTAGGTTCTTCCCTTTCATCACTTTAAATATATACTTTTTTCCTATATTTTTTGGTTGCATGTCTTTTGATCACCTCTTCATCCAATACACCTTTTGTAGTACAATTTCTATAGAGAGAACAGAAAAACAACTCGGTTTTTTTCTGAGAGTTTGAAAAGTATTTTGCAGCTTCACAAGTCACCACCACTGGTCAATGTCATGTAAATTTTTTGGATTGTTATAAAATTTGGGAAATCCTCCGTCATTTCTTTTATACGTAAGCTGTAAGATTTTACGATGTGTCACGGTTTTTAAGTAATAACTAATCTTAAATAAGCTTTAGATTTACCACTTCAGAAATGTTTCCACAAGTCATTCCTACACTCGTACAGCCAGCAATAACTTAACTATATGCAGAAGTGATAGCAAACCACATAAGTATATCCCACCAACTCCAAATAAATGTATATGCAATTCAATTTCTCTTTGGTTTGATCCCCAAAAGAATAGCTCTGATGAAGACAGAACTCTCCCTAGAAAACAAAGCAAGGTAGGGAATTCCCTGGTGGTCCAATGGTTAGGACTCCATGCTTTCACTGCCAAGGGCCCAAGTTCAATCCCTGGTCAGGGAACTAAGATCCCACAAGCCACTCAGTGCAGCCAAAAAAAAAAGAGAAGCAAAGCAAGGCAGAAAATATGAAAAGGCAGAAGTGTTTTCTGGGTAGGAAGAAGGTAGAAGACACTCATTCTTAATATACCTTGTATCATTCAAAGTTAATAAAAGTATTCCCTTCCCATGTACGTTTGAAAGTATTCTAGCGTTGTGAATTCTGTTGTAGAATTTGGAACACCACACCCCAGAAGAATGAAGCCTCAGAGGAAAGCTGGTGGACCTAACTTAAGGTAGGAGAGGTTTCACCCCCATTGAACTTCAAACCTATGCTGTGGCAAAAGATTTTCTAAAGGAAGACAACAAGGGAATTCCCTGGAGCTCCAATGGTTTGGACTCTGTGCTTCCACTGCAGGGGGCGCAGGTTCAATCCCTGGGCGGGGAACTAAGATCCCACAAGCTTCACAGCGTGCCCCCCTCCCAAAAAAAAGAAGAAGAAGAAGACAGCAAAGACCAAAATCCTAAAGGAAAAGATGGACAGATTTAACTGTATTAAACTTTAAAACATCTGTGTGGTTAAAGTAAACAAAATCAAACATCAAACAAAAAAACTAGAAGAAAAAGTACCTGTCATTCATATTACAAAGGCTTAATAGCCCCAGTACAGAAACCCATTAAAAATTTTAAAGCATGAGGAATCTAACAGGAGAACCATCAAAGAACATGAACAGGCCATTTACAGAGGAAGAAAGGCAAAAGTTGAAAGAACTGGCCAAGATTTAGGGAAACTAAGCCCTCTCACCCTGTTATCAGGAATGTAAATTAGTTCGCCTTTATATGGGGCAATTTGACAATATAAAAATAACACTAACATTTATAAAGAGCTTACTATTTACCAAGTACTCTGTGAAGTGCTTTATACTGATTGAGCTATTCAATCCCCACTCAATTTGTATGGACATTCAATGTGCATCATGTGTAATAACGAAAAACTCGAGATTCCTCAGACACTGAACAATAGGGTTTGGTTAAATAGAACATGGAATCTCTATACAATGGATTGAAATAATTTATATTTACCAACATGGAAAACCCTGTAAAATGTAGTAAGTTTTTAAAAAGGCGACAAAAGAGAATGTACAATATACCTGTTAAGTAACAAAATTCAACTAAGTTGTTTTTTAAAGATTTATTTATTATTTATTTATTTATTTATTTTTGGTTGTGTCAGGTCTTAGTTGTGGCACACAGGATCTTTGTTGAGGCATGCAGGATCCTTCGTTGCAGTGTGCAGGCTCTTCGTTGTGGTGCGTGGGCTTCTCTCTAGTTGTGGCATGTGGGTTTTCTCTTCTCTAGTTGTGGTGCACAGGCTCCAGGGCACGTGGGCTCTGTAGTTTGCAGCACATGGGCTCTAGTTGAGGCACGCAAGCTCAGTAGTTGTGACATGCGGGCTTAGTTGCCCCTCGGCACGTGGGATCTTAGTTCCCTCACCAGGGATCAAACCCACGTCCTCTACATTGCAAGGTGGGTTCTTTACCACTGGACCACCAGGGAAGTCCCTCAACTGAGTAAGCTTTAAAGATTTTATTGGCTTTATTCAACAATTCATGAATTGGGCAGCATCTCATCTAGCAAATAGAAAGGAACTCTGAAGAGCAGTACAAAATAGAAGACTTTTACAAGCAGAAGGTGGAGGGACAAGGAAATTACTAGCAACGAGTGGATTGTTTCAAGCAAGGTCACCTTCCTTTGGGGGACAGCAGGGGTCTATCAGGTGGATTACCTCACTACAGCTGACCAGACAATTCCAGACTGACTGGAATTACATTCCTGGGAGAGGCTGAAACTGCAATTAGGTTAGGTATTAAGTCTCAGTTTGGTGATGTGGGCTTAGCACAAGTGACTCCATTTGGGGCCTATTGTCTCTTTTTTAACAATTCCCCCCTTCTGATGAGACTCTCAGCTTAACTGGGAGATGTGATCAAAATTTAAGCATTAGTGGCACTTTCAGCTACCACTCTGAAGTTCCCACAGTTTTTGCTGATCCTCTGTGTAGTATTCACAGGTCATGACTTTTTAGCTGAACCTCTGTGTCATTCACGGGTCATAACTTCAGGTTCACAATTTTTTAGCTGGTCGTTCTCTTCGTTCTTTCCTGACATTCCAGTCTTAGAACATTTGCTTGGTGGTGAGCAGCTGCAACCATGCATTTAAAGCTTTTGAGAGAACACAGCACACCAGGGAGACTACTATGACTGTGGTAAGCAGGATAATTCCCAAAGTCTGGACTGCACTTTGGAGTCATGGTCCCCAAGACCCAAACCAATCAACTACATCAAAGAAAGAACCCGTTGAAGGAGTTACTTTCTTAAGCCAGTGACTTATTCAGTGATCTTATACAGCTGAGTTTCAACTTCAGCAGTACTAATCCAGGTGCAGCAAATGGTGCTGGCCACAGCACAAACAACTCCTTGCTCAGCTAAAAGATAATCAAGGGTTATCTTTTTATCAAGAGCAATCTTGATCAGAGAGTGTAAGGATTTTTGTTGGGCAGCTATGGCTTTTGCAGTAGATTCTGTAGTATTTTCGAGAGTTAAGGAGAGGTTCCTGATCATAGCCTTACTTGTATTCACTCCTAACCAGGGAAGTAGGGACCTGCCAAAGGAAGTGAATCCTGAATCATGAACACCTCCTGGGAGGTCTTTTCTAACTGGACGATGTAAATTCAGGGGAGTTGACCAATGAGGTGTCTCAGTTTGATTGTGGACAGCTAGGGGCACAGTTAGATAACCTAAGAGGCATTGATTGCTCAGTTATGCACCAGCCATCTAGGCATTCATGGGCTCAAGGAGAATGACAAACACCACAGACAAAGATAAATCCTGTCAGGGCACAAACCATTCCCACCAAGGTGGTATTGTTAATGGATTGTTGCATTTGTCCATTCAAGCCAGGGGTCAGTTAGGTTTTCAGCACAATTGGAAAGTAAACCTCTAAGCCTGAAATGAAAAGTTGTTCTAATTCCTTGCAAAGATGAGTGCTGCTGGTGAGAGCTTTTCATGATTGGGGGAAGATCTGATTTAGATAATCATAAGAACATGGGGGTGCATATGTACTATGATTTATACAGGTATTTGTATCTAACTGGGCAAGTACAGTTATAATTGAAGAAAAGTCAAAGAAGGCACAGGATGTTCTGGCCATGAAAGTCAGACTCTAAGTGACTCCTGGTGGGGGCGGGGGGGGGCGTCAATTGGGAATAGAAGAGAAATTGGTCACAGGGAGGACCAGGGGGTCTTCTGGCAACACAGATAGGCATTTTTGATGACAAATCCAGCAGTCTGAAAGGTTAACTCTATTAGAAATGGCCTGGAAGAGTAAAGGAAAGAAAGAGAAGGAGAGAGAGTTTCATGTTTAGCTAAAGTATGAAGTCTTGATCTGGCATCTTGGCAGTCTACATCAATGTTAGCTACTTCTCTTCCTCTGATTTGGAGTCTCCAGTGTCTACACAGGACCAGTTGTCGGGTGCAGCCTTCTTTAGCTGTGAGATGTGTACCCAAGGTTCAAGTCCCTGAAGTTTGGCTGCCATCTGGATAAATGAGGAAGACCTGGTATAGTCCCTTCCAAGAAAATTTAACAGCAGCCTTTATTCTTAGTGATTCCAAATCAGAAGGGTGGGAGAAAATTGGAAACGTTAGTTTGGAGAGTTATAGCCAGATATTTGAGGAAACTAAAAGAATTGAGGATCCAGTCCAGTTTACAGGTATATAACAAAATTTCAAAGACAGTTAACAGGACTAAAATCTAGTATCTACAAAGGTGCAAACATAATTTTTCTCTCTACAATCACCCCCATTTTTTTACCAAGATAATCACAGTAAAACTAATTTGTTTGCATTAAAACTGGCCTTGTTATTTACATAAGTGCAGCAAGAATAGTGATTGACCATATAAGTTCTTTTTAAGACAGCTTTGCTGGAACTTTTCATAAGAAATCTCAGCTTGAACTCTTAAAAGCCTCTGAGGACAGGAAGCCTAGCCAAGATTTTGCCTATAGTTGTGTGAATTCCTCTCTTCTTCAGATCCCCAAAATATCCTGAGCTTTCTAAGCCTGCCAGGAAGTGACCTTCCTTACTTACCTGGTAAGGCTGCCGGGAATCCAGTAAGCAAAGTACCAGGTCGATGTTTCTGAGAGGCTTTATTGGCTCCATGAAGTCAACCTTAGTACCTTAAAGCTGTCTGGTCATATCTGAGTCTATGCATGTCTCTCTCAAATATGACTTTCCTGTCAAAGCCTTGGTATTGTAATATAGCCAGTGTTTCTAATTTGTTCTGTTACAAGGAGAACAAACAAATCCTTATTGAACTTATTCAAATAACTAATTAGGGCTTCCCTGGTGGTGCAGTGGTTGAGGGTCCGCCTGCTGATGCAGGGGGCGCAGGTTCGTGCCCCGGTCCGGGAAGATCCCGCATGCCGCGGAGTGGCTGGGCCCGTGGCCCATGGTTGCTGAGCCTGCA